TCCAACCCAAGACCGCAATAAAAGCCCAATCTTTGGCAGACTTCGTCGCAGAGTTTACTCCTGGAAGTCATCATATCTGCCCAGTCGACCTAACTGACACAACCGAACTAGGGACGAAAGTTGACGCCGGAATAGCGCAACCCCTAGTAGAAGGTAGCCAATCAAGTACCAAGGCAGACCATACTAAGGACAACAAGGAAGAGACAAACAAAGGCTCACCAACCATTCAACCAGAGGACAACGAGCAGATAACGAGCATGGACCTTGAAGAAAACACCACTCTTGACCCCACGACATCATCTGATCCTTCCACTTGCTGGAAGCTGTTCGTTGGAGAGATGTGGAAGCTCTTTGTCGATGGAGCATCCAACCGACATGGTGCAGGGCTTGGCATAGTCCTCATCTCTCCAGACGGCCTGGTTGTAGAGCAAGCAATCAACCTTGGCTTCCCAGCATCCAACAATGAAGCAGAGTATGAAGCGCTTCTTGCCGGACTCAAAGCAGCATGCTACATGAAGGCCACCGAACTAATGGTTTACAGCGACTCACAGTTGGTGGTAAATCAAATTTCAGGCGACTACGAAGCAAAGGATGATAGAATGGCCAAGTACCAAGAATTAGTCAGAACAGAGATCCAGAAGTTTGATGTAGTAAGGATAGAACAAATTAGCAGGGAGGAAAACAGCCGCGCGGACGAACTAGCAGGCCTTGCCTCAATGGCAGATACATCAATCCCTTATCCATTACTCATCGACTTCTTACCAAGACCAACCATAGAAGACCCCGAAGCAGAAGAAGTATGTTGCACAGAATTAGGCCCCTCATGGATGGATCCCATCATCCTGTTCCTAAAAGACGGCATCCTACCAGAAGAGAAAAAAGAAGGCAACAGAATAAGGGAAAAATCGCAGCGATTCTGGCTATCTCCATCTTTAGCATTATACAAGAAGTCATTCTCTGGGCCTTACCTCAAGTGCGTTCATCCCAGCAAAGTAGAAGCATTCTTGTTCGAAATACACGAAGGGGTGTGTGGAAGTCATCAAGGGGGAAGGTCGCTAGCTTACAGGGCTATTTCGCAAGGATATTGGTGGCCATATATGCAAGCAGACTCAGAGAAATATGTGAAGAAGTGTGAGAAATGCCAAAAATTCGCGCACCAAATACATCAGCCAGCAAGAGAACTCCTACCATTAACTAGCCCGTGGCCTTTCGCAATGTGGGGCTTGGACATAGTAGGACCACTTCCAACAGCGCCCGGCGGCAGGAAGTTCTTCCTCGCAGCAACAGACTACTTCACAAAGTGGGTGGAAGCAGAAGCATTAGCATCAATCAAAGAAAAAGATGTGAAGAAGTTCGTTTGGCAGAATATCATTACTCGGTTTGGCATACCAAAAGCCCTAATCTTAAACAATGGTACTCAGTTCGACGACAGGATATTTAGAAGCTTTTGTGAGGAGTACAAGATAGATTTCTACAATTCTACACCAGCATATCCACAAGCAAATGGGCAAGTAGAAGCATCAAACAAAGTCGTCTTGGATGGACTAAAGAAAAGGCTAGAAAAGGCAAAAGGCAAGTGGGCGGATGAACTTCCTCATGTTTTATGGGCATACCGCACCACACCCCGGTGATCGACAGGAGAAACACCATTCTCCTTAGCTTACGGAATGGAAGCGGTTGGAATAAACCAACACTTGTTACTCTTCAGCCGAAGTAAGTGTATGGCTGAAGAGTGGTTGGCTGGAATAAACCAACACTTGTTACTCTTCAGCCGAAGTAAGTGTATGGCTGAAGAGTGGTTGGCTGGAATAAACCAACACTTGTTACTCTTCAGCCGAAGTAAGTGTATGGCTGAATAGAGGTTGGCTGGAATAAACCAACACCCTTCCTAAGCCCAGGATAAGGATCCAGGCTGCAGGACATTTGGTCGGAATAACCAAATACTATAGGTTAGCTGGAAAAACTAACTTAGAGGTTGGCTGGATTAAACCAACATCCTTCCTAAGCCCAGGATAAGGATCCAGGCTGCAGGACATTGTATATTGCAAGCATTCTATTCTAAGTTAGCTGGAAAAACTAACTTAGAGGTTGGCTGGATTAAACCAACACCCTT